TTGAAAACTTAAAAGAAACTTTCTTTAAGTTTATTTTGCTTGTTGGGTATACATATATGTACATACATACATATACATATCAACTTAATGGGCTCTCTCATCATATCATATTCAAATTTAACGCCTGACGTTGAAATTTTCAAATAGTTAGCATTTAAATTCTAGGAATTATTGCTATTAAATTGTTTTAAAGGACCATACATATTCAAGTTGCTTTAAATGCTAGCTTAAGATCTTTCTGGATCGTCCCAATCAGAATCATTTTACTCTCAGTAGGGTCCATCATTGTCGCTCACCCAACCTTGGGATGGAGTTTTAAAGGGGTTATGACAGCTACTACATGTTATATCACCATAAACTAAGCGGGATATTTTGCATAGTGGCAGCTTGCTACAGCTGTATGGACTCAAACAGCTGAGTTATTGTGACACTAGTCTCTCTGGTTGTCCATTCGAGATCACCGCACCGGTTTTCTTATACTTGCTCCTCTCCCATTCCGACTTCCAAAGGTTTCATACGGTTTAGCTACCACATCTCGTACATGGGTTGTTCACTTTGCCCAAGTTGCGCGAACGTTCACGCAAAAGTGTTGTCGAGCAGCTTTAACTGGATACCCAGAAGCCTCACTATCATCCCATGCAATGATTTTATTACACACTTATTTGTATTTTTCTCTGTCTCGACAATTACGCTCTAAAAATATTTCAAAATGCTCGTCCTATGGTAAGCCACAGAAATATGGACGAATACAGATAGGACGACTTTAAAGGTTTACACAAGAGCTCTTCTACGTAAGAATGATAACCCGGTTCGCCTGTACAAGTTTTACCATGATTGCGGTGGTTTGAATGTCCTTCAGATGGATGATAATGCTCCGGGTAAAAGATTCTTCAACATGGCACACATGGTCAACAAAAGCAATTGCACCACGAATGCAATCAAAGGACGAAGTGTAGGAATGATGTGGCTGCAGCGTAACTTCGCAAAAGAGAGTCATTTGGCGAGGGCTTTTGGTCTCACCCGAAAGGTACTAACGGTTGAATTGGAAAATGAGAAGAACAATTGCACTGATAGTAGTAATGGTTTTGGTAATGATAATGGTAGTGGTAATGATAATGATAGCAGTAATGCTATTGGTAATGGCAATGGTAATGGTAATGGCAGTGGTAATGATAATGATAATGGTAATGGTATTTTTTATGGTAATTGTAACAATTAACACTTGTAATGGTATTGGTAATGAGAATGATTATAGTTTTGGTAATGGAATGGTAGTGATAGTAGTAATGGTATTAGTAATGGTGAGCGTACTGCTAATGGTATTGGTAATGATAAGGATAACGTTAGTGTGAATGGTAGTAAGAATGGTATTGGTAATGGAAATGGTAATGAATTAAGTAATGGTAATGGTAAGCATATTGGCAATGATAATAGTATTTGTAACGGAAACTATGTGGAAAGTGGCATTAGTAAATGTATTGTTATTGGTATTTGTAATGGTAATGGTGATAGTTATGGTAATGGTAACGGTATTGGTAACAACAACACTAACGGTAGTAGTAATGGTAATGGTCATGGTTATGAAAATGGTATGGTAATGGTACTGGTACAGGTATTGGTAATCGATATAGCAATGGTCATGGTAGCGGTAGTGATAATGGCGATAATAATTGTAAAGGTTAATACATACCACATTTCAAAAGAAACTTAAAAATGCCAAAGTATTTGCATTATTTTTTTTTTTCAAACGCAATAGACACTGTACTGCGTTTGTTTATTCATTGAGTGCTACTCCCACAAAATGTTTTCGATTTTTGATATTCATTTGGATGCCTTTAATAAATCTTTTATTTAGTTGTGGCACTCAGTATATTTTTAGGAATGACGCTCTCATAATTAATTTAGTTATCTGCTATTTGACTATCTTTCTGTACGTAGTACATATATAATTCACTTAGCCAGTTGGCAGTCAAGCTCGAGGCAATCTTATTAAGTGGACAACACGAATTTTCTTAGCTGCACGCAGATGCAATTTGGCCACAAACAGTAACAACTAAATTATAGCGCAGATTGATTCTTTTCGCTCTTGATTTGCTGCCGAGAAAGCTGATTCATTTATTATTTATTTTTTTTTATTGTAAAGAGATCGCAATGTAAAATAAAAAAAAAAAACAATTTGGCATGTCTCATAAGTTTAAATTACGATTTTAGTTGCAACTCAATCACCATAACCTACTTGATGAGCGCCAAAAAATTTTACCCGCCGAGAGCCAAGTAAGAAAAATGGGGTTTTAATAAAATTTGTTGTTGTAATAGAGATGACAAATTGGTTTTCTATTTTCATGCAACCATGTAAGTATGTACATATGTATGTTCTTTTTTAAGTTAAGGCGTTGGATGAAACTCAATCGAGATATGTACGTACATACTATAATTCTAGAGAATGGATAACAAATAAATTGCAGTATGTATAAACATACATACATACATACATATATGCAATTTAAATGTCTACAAATCCTTTTTGCACAGAATTTTTTACCATACTCGCTCCGTAGACGCCATTGGGGGTTACCCACTCCATTCATTGAAAAATAGAAATTTGAAGAAGCCAACAAACAACCCATAAATCTTCAAACATCAGTGATTTGGCGATTTGCTTGATTGAAATCATAGATATGACCAGTTAGGCGTAGGAAAAGTTTTGTACGCATCCAGACGCAGTCAACATTGTATGCGGCACAAATCTGTTTGCACAAGTACGTATGAATGCGTGTGTTTGTCTAGTCGTTTCGATTGGCATAGCCACATACATACATATGTAGCTGACTGCATGCTAATTTGTTCAGAATAAATATATCTAGCAACTGCCGGTTTGCCATTGGAATATGGGTTAACTCAACACCAGCCCACCAACATTACCGTTACCATCACTGTCACTGATTCTAGAAGATCGTAGCAAAAATAAAAGTATTCCTAAATATTTACATTAGGCATATGCCTTTTTTCTAAAATTGAATATACCTATGAGGAGAGAATGAGTTTTGGTTCAAATTTGTTAAAAAGGTTCCCATAGAAACTCCGAAAAAAATTTTTTTTTTCTGAAAAATGTTTTATTTTATGGAAAATCCTATTATCCCGTTGACTTGGAATTTTCCATACATAAGCTTTTTATGGAATTTTCAAATAAAACGAATGCTTTTTTCTCTTTCGTTCT